TGGCCCAAAGTCACCCAGTAGACTTTCATGCCTAAGGCGAGACTAGAACTCCCAGCCTCCTGGTGATTGGCCCAAAGTCACCCAGTAGACTTTCATGCCTAAGGACTAGAACTAGAACTCCCAGCCTCCTGGTGTTTGGCCCAAAGTCACCCAGCTGGCTTTCATGCCTAAGGCGAGACTAGAACTCCCAGCCTCCTGGTGATTGGCCCAAAGTCACCTAGCCGGCTTTCATGCTTAAGGACTAGAACTAGAACTCCCAGCCTCCTGGTGATTGGCCCAAAGTCATCCAGTAGACTTTCATGCCTAAGGACTAGAACTAGAACTCCCAGCCTCCTGGTGATTGGCCCAAAGCCACCTAGCCGGCTTTCATGCCTAAGTCAGGATTACAACTCGCCATCTCCCACTTTCTAGCCCGGCACCTTAACCACTAGTCCGAACTGATTGGCTAGGAACTCAAGATGTTCCGTCTCCCAAATGCACCAGGGGAGGGTTCGCTTCCGTGGAGTCCAGCGGGGCTTCCTCCAGGAAAAGAGTACAGGGCCCAAACCTCCCCGAGGGCCCAGGCTGTTTGCCCTAAGGGTCCTCCCTCCTGCCACTGCTGTGGCCCACTCTCGGCATCCCAGGGTTTCCCTCGAACTCGGCTGCCTGTTGCCTGTCTGGATGAGCGCCGGGCGGCCGGGCGCAGTCTGAGATAGCAGCTGCCCAGGCCACGTGCTGCAGCACCCGGCGCGTCCCCTGGGCCGGCCGGCCACAATAGAGGCAGGATGGCTTAGCTGGGCTCCCTCGGACAAGGGGGGGGCAGAGCTGCCTTCTGTCTGTCTTCTGCGCGGCCTCCCCCCTCCCCATCACCTCCCATCTGCTGCTGGTGGGGGGCCTTCTCCCTGTCTTAATTGTTTGGATTCTTCCCCCACTCCCAAGTAAGCAAAGTGGGGCTGGGGGGGGGGAGAAGTTTTTCTCTTCCTGGCAGAAGCAGCCCAACTCTTTGGCAGAAAATTGCTGCTGCATTAAAGATAGAAAAAAGAGACAAAACTCAACTTGAGCCCAAATGCTCAAGTATCTGGTCTTTACAAAAAAAAAAAAAATCTTTAAACAAGCCGGCCGGCCTTTTTAACTGCTTTTTCTTTCCTTTTTTTAATTTTCAGCGGCCAGGATCAGAGTGGATCCTACCTATTAAATGTTAAATTAACCTTTTTCTCCCTTTTTTTGTGCACTGTTTTTTTTTTTTTGTTGTCGTTAGTATTGAATGTATGTTTTTGTTTCGTTTTGTTTGTTTTTCAGTTTTGGATTTTTATCTTTTATGGTAAAACAATAAATAACACAAAAGGAACAAGCCGGCCGGGCGATTTAAACATAGATTGAAGGAAGGCATTTTTAACCGGGGCGGGGTGGGGGGGGAAGCAAGGTTTCTGCCCAGTTCCTTCAGATTACTTTGTCTTGTACTGAAAATAAAGATTTGGAAGCCGGAGCGATCGGTTGAAAAGCCAAGTCTGCTCTAATCCAGCCAGGCAACCAAAGGGAATGAAAAGGGACAACAAAACAGGAAACTGGTTTGTTGAACTACTTAATGACTACTTTCCAACTGCTTCTCCCTGTGAGGAATCTGTAATCTTTTTTTTTTTCCTTCTTCTTCTAAGAGCGTGAGACTTTGGAGTATTTGGTACAGGAAAAAGTTCGTCGTCGCTGCTTTAAGAGCAGTTCTCTGAGCAGTTGAGGCAGTTTTCATTATTCAAAGCTCACGCGGTGGGCCTTTCCATTCAGACTGATGCCTGAGCGGTTATAGGCCTCTCCCCATCCGTCACTAGGATTTTAAAAAGGTCCTTTTAGCCTAGTGGCTGCATCCAGACCCTCCATGGCGGCACAGCCAGGAGGCACAACCTGAAAAATACAGTGCCGTCTTTCTCCGAATTGTCCTTGTTTAAAACGAGGCAGGAGGAAAAAGGGTGGAAGGATGAGGGAATGAAGGGGAAGGGCTCCCCTTCTTTGCTCAGCCAGCTGGACTTTTGCCAAGCACTGGAGGAGCCCCAGAGAGTCCATGACGGGGGGGGGGGGAGCTGGCTAGCACCCTAAAATCTCTCTCCCCCTGCCTTTTAGTCAGTTTTCACACTCGTTTTAATTTATCCTTGCCTTTACATTTTAAATTGCTTTAAATATGCTTTGATGTTTTACCTGTACAACACCCAGAGTGTGAAGTGAAGGAGATGGGCAGTTTTAAAAGTAGAGATATAGATAGAGGAGAGGGAGGGAGGGAGGAAGACACACACACACACAGAGAGAGAGAGAGAGAGAGAGACACAGAGAGAGAGAGATCAGTTTTGCTGGCTGGGTAATTCTGGGAGTTGAAGTCCACCCATCTTAAAGTTACCAAGATTGGTTGATACAACATGAAGGTGGGATGGGCGGATGGACAGACAACGTATTGATTGATTGATTGGATGGGTGGGTGGGTGGGTGGGTGGACGGACAGAAGANATGCCTAAGGACTAGAACTAGAACTCCCAGCCTCCTGGTGATTGGCCCAAAGTCACCCAGCTGGCTTTCATGCCTAAGGCGAGACTAGAACTCCCAGCCTCCTGGTGATTGGCCCAAAGTCACCCAGATGGCTTTCATGCCTAAGGCGAGACTAGAACTCCCAGCCTCCTGGTGATTGGCCCAAAGCCACCCAGCCGGCTTTCATGCCTAAGTCAGGATTACAACTCGCCATCTCCCACTTTCTAGCCCGGCACCTTAACCACTAGTCCGAACTGATTGGCTAGGAACTCAAGATGCTCCGTCTCCCAAATGCACCAGGGGAGGGTTCGCTTCCGTGGACTCCAGCGGGGCTTCCTCCAGGAAAAGAGTGCAGGGCCCAAACCTCCCCGAGGGCCCAGGCTGTTTGCCCTAAGGGTCCTCCCTCCTCCCACTGCTGTGGCCCACTCTCGGCATCCCAGGGTTTCCCTCGAACTCGGCTGCCTGTTGCCTGTCTGGATGAGCGCCGGGCGGCCGGGCGCAGTCTGAGATAGCAGCTGCCCAGGCCACGTGCTGCAGCACCCGGTGCGTCCCCTGGGCCGGCCAGCCACAATAGAGGCAGGATGGCTTAGCTGGGCTCCCTCGGACGGGGGGGGGGGGCAGAGCTGCCTTCTGTCTGTCTTCTGCGCGGCCTCCCCCCTCCCCGTCACCTCCCATCTGCTGCTGGTGGGGGGCCTTCTCCCTGTCTTAATTGTTTGGATTCTTCCCCCCACTCCCAAGTAAGCAGAGTGGGGCTGGGGGGGGGAGAAGTTTTTCTCTTCCTGGGAGAAGCAGCCCAACTCTTTGGCAGAAAATTGCTGCTGCATTAAAGATAGAAAAAAGAGACAAAACTCAACTTGAGCCCAAATGCTCAAGTATCTGGTCTTTACAAAAACAAAAAAAAAATCTTTAAACAAGCCGGCCGGCCTTTTTAACTGCTTTTTCTTTCCTTTTTTTAATTTTCAGCGGCCAGGATCAGAGTGGATCCTACCTATTAAATGTTAAATTAACCTTTTTCTCCCTTTTTTTGTGCACTGTTTTTTTGTTGTTGTTGTCATTAGTATCGAATGTATGTTTTTGTTTCGTTTTGTTTGTTTTTCAGTTTTGGATTTTATCTTTTATGGTAAAACAATAAATACTACAAAAGGAACAAGCCAGCCGGGCGATTTAAACATAGATTGAAGGAAGGCATTTTTAACCGGGGGGGTGGGTGGGGGGGGGAAGCAAGGTTTCTGCCCAGTTCCTTCAGATTACTTTGTCTTGTACTGAAAATAAAGATTTGGAAGCCGGAGCGATCGGTTGAAAAGCCAAGTCTGCTCTAATCCAGCCAGGCAACCAAAGGGAATGAAAAGGGACAACAAAACAGGAAACTGGTTTGTTGAACTACTTAATGACTACTTTCCAACTGCTTCTCCCTGTGAGGAATCTGTAATCTTTTTTTTTTTTCTTCTTCTTCTAAGAGCGTGAGACTTTGGAGTATTTGGTACAGGAAAAAGTTCGTCGTCGCTGCTTTAAGAGCAGTTCTCTGAGCAGTTGAGGCAGTTTTCATTATTCTAAGCTCACGCGGTGGGCCTTTCCATTCAGACTGATGCCTGAGCGGTTATAGGCCTCTCCCCATCCGTCACTAGGATTTTAAAAAGGTCATTTTAGCCTAGTGGCTGCATCCAGACCCTCAATGGCGGCACAGCCAGGAGGCACAACCTGAAAAATACAGTGCCGTCTTTCTCCGAATTGTCCTTGTTTAAAACGAGGCAGGAGGAAAAAGGGTGGAAGGATGAGGGAATGAAGGGGAAGGGCTCCCCTTCTTTGCTCAGCCAGCTGGACTTTTGCCAAGCACTGGAGGAGCCCCAGAGAGTCCACGGCGGGGGGGGGGAGCTGGCTAGCACCCTAAAATCTCTCTCCCCCTGCCTTTTAGTCAGTTTTCACACTCGTTTTAATTTATCCTTGCCTTTACATTTTAAATTGCTTTAAATATGCTTTGATGTTTTACCTGTACAACACCCAGAGTGTGAAGTGAAGGAGATGGGCAGTTTTAAAAGTAGAGATATAGATAGAGGAGAGGGAGGGAGGGAGGAAGACACACACACACACACAGAGAGAGAGAGAGAGAGAGACACAGAGAGAGAGAGATCAGTTTTGCTGGCTGGGTAATTCTGGGAGTTGAAGTCCACCCATCTTAAAGTTACCAAGATTGGTTGATACAACATGAAGGTGGGATGGGCGGATGGACAGACAACGTATTGATTGATTGATTGGATGGGTGGGTGGGTGGGTGGGTGGACGGACAGAAGACAGATTGATTCATTGGGTGGGTGGGTGGGTGGATGGAGAGAGAGAGAGAGAGAGAGAGAGATGGAGCCCAAGCAGACAGCCCTCTCACCTGCCCGTCTCCTGGCTCCCCCCAGGACATCTCCTGCCTGAACAGGGACCCGGCCAAGGTGGTGGTGGTGGACTGCAAGAAGGAGGCCTTCCACCTGCAGCCCTTCAACGGCCTGGCCCTCAAGAAGTGGGACGGGAACTCCGACGACCGCACCCTCTTCGACCTCTCGGCTTTCCTCAAAAGTGAGCCTGGGGCAAGACACGAACTCTTCTCTTCCCTTTCCCCTTGCACCAGCTCCTCTCTTCCCCCCTCTGTCCCCCCCCCTTTCCCCTTCCCTGTTTCCCCTTCTATTTGATATTACGATAACTCCTTTCTAAAGAAGCAAGTAGAGGGCTCGCTTTCACGGAAGCCGGCAGGCGAGGAGGAGAGCCTCCCCCGCCACCCTGAGCATCTCCCTTCCCAGATCCAGAGGGAGGTCTGGCCGGGCGGGTGCAGGTGGCAGAGGGCGGGGATGGAGGGAAGCTTGTGCCCGGGCAGGCCGTGCCTGCGGGGGTCCCGAGGCCTCCTCGGAGGGAGGAAGCCGGGCTGCTGGCCTGGTCGCTTTTCCCGGCCTTTGGGCTGGGCCTCACCTGCGGCCCTTGTCGCCTGCAGCCGTTGCCCTGAGCGGAGTGGAAGACGTTCGCTCCGTGCTGGAAAACTATTCCCTGGAGGAAGATCCGCTGGAGGCTTTCAAACGCAGGCAGTCCCAGCTGGAGCAGGTGAGAATCGGGAGGGAACTGCCGGCAGTCCTCGGCTTACGACCACAGTTCAGTCACTAAAAGAACGGTGGTAAAGCCGAGGGCTACCTGTCTCGTGCTGGCTGGGGAATTCTGGGAGTTGAAGTCCACAGCTCTTAAAGTGGACACGGTTGGACACCTCTGGTTGAACCCCTCTGGCTGGGGACAGAGACCCCTGGGTGGGCTGAGGAGGGGTCTGCAGGGCGGGGTGACGGCAGTGCCGGTGTCCTTGCCCCTCCCCAGGAAGAACAGCAGCGTCTCTCCGACCTGACCCAGCACAAGAAGCAGCAGCTCTTCCTGGGCTCGCTGGCCAGCCGGCTGTGGCCTCGCTCCAAGCAGCAGTGACCCTGGCCCCCCTCAGGCCCACGAATGGACTTCTCGGCTGTTCCTGCCCCTCGGACCCCGGCCTCTGGGGAGGGGAGGCTGCAGCAGGAGGGGCAGAGGCTTCGGCCCAACCTCGACGCGGATCGTGGGCTGCAACCTGCCGCCACTTGCCCTCGCCGTCTCCTCCCACCGCGGCATCGTTTCTTTAGACCGAGACTTTGTGGGGTGAGAGTGAGCCTCTCCTCTGCCCTCGGAAGGGGACTGCTGCAGGATGAGGCTCCGGGAGGGCCGGGGAGCCGAGCTCTCCCCCCCCCCGCCTGGGAACGGATCCCGACTGCGGCAGCACGAAAAGGAGGCAAAACTCCAGAAGGAGAAGACGGTCTGTCCAGCGGGCTCTCGCCCCTTGTTATCATGTTCCCATCGGGCGACCGACAGTGCTGTGGGTCAGCCTGCTGGGGTGAACGGAGAGGAATGTTGGGTGTCTTCAGATTAAATGGCCATCTTTCTAAGAGCGGCTTCTGCTCTGTCCGTCGTTTGTGGGACCCTTGGTGCTCTCTCAGCTGGAGGGTTTTCTCACGGACGTTTTATGACCCAAGGAGGTAGCATCATCAGTGCTAGAAGAGAGCGGGTATGTGGAGAGGAGGGAGAGGAGGAGGACTGTGGGGTCCTTGGGCCTCTCTGAGCTTGGTGTTCTTATAGACGTTTTGTGACCCAGCTAGGTAACCTCATCAGTTCTAAAAGAGAGCGGGTATGTGGAGAGGAGGAGGAGGAGGAAGACTGGGGGGGGGTTGCTTTCTTGCAGACGTTTCACTACCCAACTAGGTAACATCATCAGCGCTAGAAGGGAGGGGGGTTGCTCTCTATTTGTGCATGAGTGGCTTGTCCTGTCAGTGTGGGTGGGAGTGTGGTTTTCTTCTTGGTGGTGCCTTAATTAGGCTGTTCCCTACATCAGCCCAGCCTCCCCCCCACACACCCCCACCCTGATCTCTCCCCACTGAAAAATCAGCTGCAGGCCTTTGTCTTGAAGCAGACTAGCTGTAAACAGGAAAGAAATCCAGCTGGAATGTGCTCTGGGGGGGGGAGAATTCCAGCCCTCCGAAGGTGCTTTGTTTCTGATGCATAAACATTGCAGAATTGTTTTACAGTTTTTACAGTCAAAAGGGTTTCTTCTCTCCACATTAAAGCAGCCCCCTCCCCCAAATGTGGCCATTTTAAGATTTGTTGAAGTCCACAAGTCTTAAAAAGGGGCCACGTTTGGAGACCCCTGTTCTGAAGGGGGCAGGTAAGAGAAGGGAACCGGGGGGGGGGCAAAGGGGTCCAGAAGGAGGGGAGCAGGGTTGACCAGCCCATGCTGGTCTCCCCTGCTAGCGAAGAAACATCCCGGCTTCTTCCCCTCCTTGCTGGCAGTGGTCTTTGGGGGCAGGAGAAAGGGGGTGGTCCGCGCATGTGATGAATAAGGGGGTGATGAGGGTGAAAAGTTTGGGGAAGGAACATTGAGAGGGAGGGGGGGGGGTTGTAAAAGTGGCTGGATGCCCTGGGCTAAGAGGAAGGGGGTGCTTGCTTCTAAGTGGGTGGGTGGGCTGCGTGCCTGCAGAAGGTACGGGAGCCACCAAATTTGACGCCTGGAAGCCAGCAATCCACAGCGTTTCTCAATTTTGGCCACTTTAACACACGTGGACTTCGACTCCCAGAATTCCCCAGCCAGCTGTTCTGGGAATTGAAGTCCACCCCTCTTAAAGTTGCCAACTTTGAAAAAGCCCTGGCTTAGGACACAAGCTGGGCAGAAACCTGGAAGGCCATCAGGTCAGAAGATGCCTCCTGGCTAGCTGCCTCGTTGCCAGGCTAGGCCGCTCTGCTCCTCTCCTAGTCACCGAGGCCGATGGAAAATCCCTTTATTTTTTCCTTGACCGGGCCATTCCAGGCCCAGACGGAGAAAAGGAGACCTCCGGTTTCCCTTTCCAGGTGCAACGATCGCCAGAAGGTGATGCGGGAGGAGGGGGACCTGGGGGGCTTCTCCCCTGGCACAGCGACTACCGCAGGGACCCAGAATCGGGGCACCGCGGCATTCTTGGCAAAGACCTGCAGACCTCGCAGGAAAGGCTTTTTGGGGCCGTGGCAGCCGGGAGGAGACGAGGGAGGAGGAAGCCACGGCGGGGGCTGCAGGTGCCGGGAGCCACCTAGATGGAGCTGGGGAGCCATCAAGACGTGGCAGCCAGACGGAGGCTTCTTAGCCCCGGAAATAAGGTGGGGCGGGGGAGGTTGATAATTGAGTAGGTCTGGAGGTGGGGAGGCTGCTCATGTATACTGGATCCTCCAAGGGGAGTCTCCTCCCCTCCTCTTCTCCTTTTTTTCTCCTCCTTCCCCTCCTTTTCTTCCTTTTTTCTTCTCTCTTCTTTTTTTCCCTTCCTCTCCTCCCCCTTTTTCCTGCTTCCTCTCCTCTTCTTTTTTCTCCTTTCCCTCCTTTTTTCTTCTCTTTTCTCCTCTTTTTTCTCCCTTTTTCTCCTTCCTCTCCTCCGCCTCCTCCCTCCCCTTTTCCTGCTTCCTCTCCTCCTCCTCCTCCTCCTCCTCCTCCTCCACCAACTCTCCCTCCCCCCTTCAAATAAACAAGTAAATCCCAAGGTTGCCAAGGCTAGTCTCATTGCTTCCTGTTTGGCCTGGATAATAGATCCACTTCCTGGACCTTTTGACGTTACCTCACCCTTCCCCTCCACTCCGGGAAGAGGAGGAGGAGGAGGAGAAGCTTGAGAACAAGGAGAGGAGATGGCGGGGTGAGGGGCTGCTCCCCTTTCTGCTGCAAAGGTCGCCTTTTGCAAAAGGACCAACAGCAAAGCTCCGAGGAACCTGGTGCTGCTGCATCGGCAGGATGCTGGGCAGGCGTCCTAAAGCCGGTGGGAATGCCCTTCGAGCAGAACCACTTGGGGGATGCCGGAGTGTGGGGCATCCCTATCCTAGGCAGGGTCTTCTCTTAAGTTCCCCATCCACCCTTCGATTCCATGCGCAGGGCAGTCTGAGCCACTGCAGGGCCTCAGTGGAACCTCCGGCCTCTGGTTCAGCTGTGGTTGCTTCCTTGCGTGATCTACTAGGAACACCCAGCTGGCCCTCAAGAATTAGGACAGATCTACGAGATCCTGGTCTCTGGAGCATCCAAGATCGGTGGAGTCGCCTAGATCTTTTGCTCGACCAGCTTGAGGGACGCACGCCCCACATCCCACAGAAAGCACCAAAGCTGATTTCAGTGATTTCGCTTAACAACCGTTGCAAAATCAGGTGCGATTCATTGAACACCCCCCCACACACCTTGCTCAGCAATGAAAAGGCCGGCCTCGGTGGGTAAAGTCCCTGAAAAAGCAGCAGCACAAGGACAGCCGGCCGTTCGGCCTTTTCCTTCGCACAAGCCAGAGGCCGAGCTGCCCGTCAAGGCCCAGGAAGGGTGACGTGTCGTATCGTGTTGTGGTGTCGTATCGTGTGGTGTATCGCAGGTCAGAAAGGTAACTCAACCTGTTGGACCCAAGAAGCGGTTTTTGTTCCCCAGCCGTTCAATTGCCGGAAAGACCGGGGGCACAAGATTGTCTGGGTCAATCATTTCCAGCCTTGTACTCCTAGTGGCTCTGCATTTTCTAAAATAATGGGGAGGGGGCCGGCTGGCTTCTTCTGAGGGGCCTCAGCCATCCCTTCCCCAAGTCCAAGCTGGGCTTGGCAGACAAGCTGGAGACAAAACACCCAGCATTTCCTCCTATTCATTGGCAGCGGAGGGAGTCTGTGCCCGCCCTCTCCTCCTCCTCCTCCTCCTCCGTTGCTCCTTGCCCCCCCACACACACACACATCCCCCTTGCCTTCTTGGAAGACAAGAGGGGGAGGGGGTAGAAGGCCTGAACGTGGAGGGGGCTGGAGGATTCAGAGAACCATGGAGCATTCTGACTTTCTGGTTACTGGGCAGATCCAGATGGAATCGATCAGTAAGGTGATCCTGTGAATATATTTGATTGCCTCCATCCTTTTACTCCTTGCCCCACAACCTGCTCCGAATCTGCGCTTTTTCAAGACGTTTCACTTCTCCAAGAAGCTTCTTCAGTTCTATTATTATTATTATTATTATTATTATTATTATTATTATTATTATTATTATTATTATTATTATTATTAGAACAGGGTTAAAATACAAAATACAAAACCAAATAAAAACGCAAGAAGACATAAAAAGAAAAAAACACAAAACGGTCAGAACATTAAAAAAAGGTGCATCAAAAAAACCAATACATTGTACACATCTTATCCCCTCCAGTTGAATACTGATTAATATATTACTACATTAGTTCCCACCCCTTGCAAAACATGCCCTCCCAGAATTTTTAAACTACTAACCCTATTAACCATTTGTCAACCTGTCTTCTATGTGTCGTATTAGTGACAAAGTAGTAAACAGGAAAAAAATAATAGTAAAACATGAACAACATTAAAGTTCCCTTGTTAACAAACTGTTATTCAAATCTAACCCGCTCATAGAAAATTTAACCAGGGCATCTTAACTATCCCAGATCATCCCAAAAGTTATAAATAGATCGTGCTAGGTCAAAAATCCGCGTTTCTTTCTTAATATCCTCTGAATGAATGAATTAGGACATTCAGTCAGAACTGAAGAAGCTCCTTGGATGAGAAGGGAAAGGTCTTCAAGGAAAAAACAAAGTCCAGTTACTGCCTTTTGGGAAAGCCCCTCTGAGGCTGGGAATCTGCAGATTCCTGAAGGGAAGGGACCCTTTTCTCCTTCCTGACCCTCCCCAGGACCACAAGGGCCACTTCCAAACTGGGATGCCTTGCTGGTGCCCGGCTAAGGAAAGCTGGTGGAGGGTCCAGGGCCTTCTCTAGAGACCCCAACCCTCACCAGCCCACATCCCTGCCCCTCCAACTCGGCCCAAGGGTAGGCAGAGCAAAGGACCGCTTTATCCCTCTCCTGAGGTTACACACCTAGGGGTCCTGATTGTTTTCACAGTTGTGTCCCCCTGCTGCCCCCTCCCCTTCCTTGG